GTCAGTTTCCTACTGACTAAATGATGATTTAGCAGTTTCCTACTGCTAAATCATCTCAGTGGAGACTTGCACAGTAGAGCTAGATGCAAGGCAGAAAGGTCAATCATGAGGCTGGAAACAAAGGAGGAGGAGGAGTACCAATTTCTCCTTTTCAGTGGCAGTAAATTAAGAGAAGACACTGAATAGCAGGAACCCTGCTTGATTTCATCTTTAAGGATAAAATGCTCTGGAGAACTGCGCTAGCACCATCCAGATAATACTGTAGTCCAGGGAAGAGAAAGGGCACAGAATGTTCATCTGAACAGACTTAATCCTGACCTACTTGGCACACTCCAAAGGGCTCCAAGAGGTTCCCACCTGCTCTAGAGAAGACAGAAGTTTTAAGGTCTTATCCTGGAGATTTTAAATACCAAAAGACAGACCAGCATGAGGGAACCAACTGTGGTCAGTATTACAGCATTTCAGATTGTAACATCTTTCTTTCAGGCTATCATTATGGCTTTCAGTTCTTCACTGAACTATTCCAGAAAAGCAGAGTCTCTTGTAAGCAGTTTTCACCAGCAGAAGTCAAGAGAAAAATGACTTCAAAAGACAAAGGTACACTTGCAGATAGCAGGTATGTAAACTGAAGGGGGTTAAATACAATCTAACCTACTATCACTGACATACACCTTTAGAGCTCCTGTGGAGTATTATACTAGAAAGACTGTGGACAGAAGCTTATAAATCCGATCTCTACACTGATAACATGCACTGCATGATCAATTGATTTTGCATTTAGTTTTGTGGGTTTTTTAAACACAAAATAATTATCTGAATGAAACTCAGGCAGGTTTCTAAGGAAGCCACTTCATGACAGCAATTACTTCAGAACGACAAGGTTACTGAAAATGCTCGCTCTTTGTAATTTAAAAAATTCTCACTATAAGTAGCTCCAGAGAGAATTTCTTAAGTTGAATCAACTGCTCAAAACCCCTCAAACACTACTTTAAAATGTACTTAAAATCTGAAAAAAAAAAAAAAAGGGGGCAAGTGAACATAATATCCTGCATTGCTATTATCAGTAAAATTAAATGAAAGTATTTCTGAACTACAAGGTGGCTCATATTTCTACTCTTCCAATTTTATTAAGGTATTTTAAAGCCTGATGGTTTGGAAAGTTTGCAGAAGTCCTGGAAACAACAGGCAAACAAGTACCTGCACGCAAACCAAATCCCAAGTCTCTCTTCCCACGCTGCTGTGCGGCTGCAGCTGAAGACAGAATATCACTGATGCAGCTTAATTCCCCTTATCCAGTTCAATACTCAACTGTTCGGCTTCCACTGCTGAGAGCAAATCCAAACTAGACTGATTTGTATTAGAACTAAATGGTTTTCAAAGCAACTTTGTTCAAACCTATTTTTTTAGAACGATGAGGATTTGTAGTGTGTGAGCACATCGTAACACCAAATTGCTTTACTGGAAGAGGCAAAAACTGTACTGGCTTCCCCTCAACAAAGCTAGAAATTATACAGCTGCCATCCAGAGGGACCTTAACAGGCTTGAGAGGTGGGCCTGTGCTAACCTCATGAAGTTCAACAAGGCCAAATGCAAGGTCCTGCATCTGGGTCAGGGCAATCCTAAACACAAATAAAGGCTGGGCAATGAGTGGTTTGAGACCAGCTCTGAAGAGAAGGACTTGGGAATGGGAGTAGACGAGAAGCTCAACATGAGCCATCAATGTGCGCTTGCAGCCCAGAAGGCCAATAACTGTATCCTGGGCTGCATCAAGAGAAGCGTGGCCAGCCAGTCGAGGGAGGTGATTCTCCCCCTCTACTCTCATAAGGCCCCACCTGGAGTACTGTGTCCAGTTCTGGAGCCCCCAACACAA